TTCTTTCGCACTCAGATGAGTTTGCTGGCGAGGATGAAGCCGTCTTTAGTGCTGAGATGGACACCAGCTATGTAAATGTTTCATCGGAACCCCCTCTGGAGGCGGATTTGAACTTACGGAGGGGAACTCTCGTCGTATGAATTCCCCTGCTATTTTCAGGGGCTCTAGCTGCTGAAGGCGATATCATCGCAATGCACCTTGGTGAATTTGTTGATGGTAGTGATACCAGGGAGGATTTTACTACTACCTGGTTGTACTCGTAGTGGAGAAGACAGTCGTTCAGAAGATGTTTATATTTTATTTTTCCTGCACGAGTGGGTTTGAAATTGGTTTGGAAAAAGTTTGGAATTCTGTGTGCTTGGTTGGCTGCCAACCCTGCTAAAAGGCACAAGAGTATTCACTGTATGTGAAGGGAATGCTGGTCACCTAATTCTACATTACACCTGATACCTGGCAGGTCCCTGATACCGACATTTTGATACACCTACAGGTACAATTACCGTAAAGTACTGCCAGAGCGCCCCACCCTCTCGTCCCTTCAAGGCTAGGCTTCTATTCACGTCAGGCGTCTATTCAAACCAGGTATTTCTATATGCCAAAACTAAAACCAGACTTATGCGCTGACAGCGTACAGGTCCTCCCTCGTTAGTAGATAATCTCTGGGCCATCAACAAAGTTATCATGTAACGAGACTTACCTTGTATCAGGACTTGCAGCTAAAGGTGAAATAAGCACTAATTCGCACTTACCTTGGCTATCCTCGATACAACATAAATTGTCGACCCTTCAACTCGTTATAAGATAATTGAAAATCTCCAACACAGCTCTTCCTAGGATGCAGAATATGGTCCATATCTTGGACTACATAGATATAAGAATTAATTTTTTTTGTCTTTCTGTGTTCTGCTATGTGTTTTGGCCTTGGTCCTGCATGGTCAATATTATCTTATACTAACCCATTGAACGCTGATGACGTCTATAGACATCATTGAAAATGCCCCCATGCGCGGATGACGTCTACAGACGTCATGGGTTATAGTGATTTCTGGCACTGCCTGGTGTGTAAGAGTACTGTTAGTCAGTTGGATCATGATCCTGCCTCTTGTACGATAGGTTGTTGGTGCGAATCCCGCTTGGAAACACTACGCGTCTTTTTTCTTCTCTTTCCAGGGATGTTTCAGTTGCACTTTCACGCATTTGGCGTATTTCACGCAATTTGAGCAAACTTGCGTCCCCTGTTGTGACGCGCTATTCTTTTTGGGGACTGTATCGATTCTGTCACGCTGTAGTTGATAGTCTTGACAATCATTTCCAAAATATTTGAGGACCCCAGTTGCCAGAGCCCTGGAGTTATAGAACTTGCTTTTGGCCCTGTTTTTAGCATTTATATGCAGACTACCATAGGCAAGGCCCAGTAGCGCTGAATGGGCTAAGGGTTTGGCACTCCAGGGACCTGGTCAAAGGGTCGTTATAATGATTTTTTATTTACTAACGAATTACGTTTCGCCAGGGGATTTACTATCGGGGTTTATGTAATAACTGGACTCGTTATAATGAGGGAGGACATGCATCTTGAAATCAGGCCTGTATCCAAAACAGGCTTCTATATGAGATAGGCCTCAACCCTTTCCATGATGGGCCCCTTTTCTCCAATCGGCCGGTTGTCCAATGCACTGACTCTCTTGGAGTAGATTGCGTGCACAGCACTTCCACCTCCTCTCCAAACTACTCCACCGTGCCTCAGAACGGCACAGCTCAATTTCACGTTCTTGCTCGGCGAATGCCCAAATTCAACCGATTTTCACGATTCGAACTGCGCTGGAAAGCTGAGATCCAAGCGCTTCATGTCCCAGCTCAAGCTCAAATCTCTTGTGGGGAAACTCTACTTCGCTGCAAGAGGCATCGTACCCGCCCGGATATTTATGCTGCGCATGTGGTCTATTTGCAGTCGCTACGAGAAGCCTCACTACCGCATCAGTCTGAGAATACGTGGGTATGCATGCAGCTTTGCTCTGTGACTTTCCATTGCATGTAGTCACTTGGCTCTCCCATTTCCTATTCACTGCTCTGATGCACGAGGCAAATGACTGGACTGCGGTGGTTGGTTTTAGGCCACAAATCAGCAGTGCTGTTGGCCACAGGACAGACACCTGAATCACGTTTGCAGTTCGTTTCGACAAAACAAATTTCGTATATTGATGCAGGTGCTTGCCCTCGTGTAAAGTGTGTGCGTGTGTGCGTGCGTGTTTGTGTGTGTCACATATGAGTGCATGTTGTCACGTAACCGATAACGTGAGCGGCAAAGAAGAGCAGGTTATGGCTCCAAATGTCAAATACTGCATACTGGAATGAGCATGAATCCACCTGCACCTGTTTTACCATCCTACCCTGTCTAATGCGTCACAGACACCTCTCTTCGGAATGCTCTTCATCTTTTTGTCGGAACTAGGTCTCCGGAGCTGGGGAGAAGGCAGAAATGCCTGTTCACTTGGTGAAGTAAAATAAAATAAACAAACAAAAAATCTCTTGAGTTGTGCTCTCACCCTCAGCTGTCTTGTTGCATACCCGTGCGCGGTATCTCCATACACTTTGGTGGTTGAACTTCGGCGAGAACCTTGAAAGGAGCATCAAGGATGTTTTCATTCGCTGTGTTATTGTGATGTACAGTTGTCGGCGTACTGGCACCCTGCTGTGGTGCTAATGGTGCTACCGCTGATGCTTTCTACAACAAGTGTTCAAGTTATTGCCAGTAAGTATACATACTGACTAGTGGCATGTATTAACTGCCTCCTCTCAACAATCACCAACCACCTGTCTACTTTTCATGTACACTCATACCATACCCCGGTTATCCGGACACTGAAGTTACGGGCACTTCGGTCTACCGGGCACCCTTTGGGCGAGTTTTAGTGGAAATATTACTATTCTTTTGTCACAGGCCCAAAGCCCAAATGAGAGGGGGAGGGAGAGGGAGAGAGACAGAGACAGAGAGCCAAAAAGCCAAGCTTCCGCCGCAAGGGCGGAAGGCAAGAGTCTCAAAAGCCAAAAGACAAAGAAACGAAGAAAAAGAGAAGAAACGCATGAGAACGAGTTATGCAGCAACTATCCACGACTAACAAGATGATAAACAGTCAGAAAGTGACTTACTTGCATTGGCAGTATGGCAGACAGCTCACTTGTGTATAACACAAATAGCAATGGCCCAAGTACACTACCTTGAGGAACACCTCTGGAGAAATCCACAGGTGCCGACAGAATATCAGCCACCTTTATTTGCTGCCTCCGATTACTCAGGTAACTAGTCAACCAGGACAGAACAGTGCCCCCAATGCCATGCTGATGAAGTACTGTGATGAGATGCTGGTGTTGTACTCTGTCAAAGACTTTTGACATGTCCACCATAATCACACCAGTATGCTGGCGCTGAGATCGTGCCAAGAGCCAGCGATTCACTGCAAGATCCAGAGCGTCTTCCGTTGAGTGGGGCTTGTGGTAGGCAAAATGCGACGCCGGTAGCAGGTGGTGGTCCTGGAGATGGGCCATGATCTGCTTCTTGACACAGTAATCTTGAAGACGAGACACAATGGGCAGCAAAGAGACTGGCCGATAGTTTCCTGCGACTGCAGTGTCCCCGCTCTTGAACAAAGGGCTAACATATGACAGTTCGAAGTATGCGGGTACAGTACCACTTGAGAGCGACATATTAATGATTCTAGCAAGATGAGGAGCAAGAACACTGGCACAGCACTGCAAAACAATACCAGGAATGCAGTCACTGCCACTAGCTTTGTGCGGGTTGTCGCAGGTTATGCGCAAAGTGTCGCGAAGCGATTGCTTATGTTTGAATTTACGTTGTATTTGACCCTGTACTACTTTTGTTGGCATTCTTTGGCTACGCGCATCTATGATGTACAGTCCTTTCCCAAACGACCGTACGACCAATCCCGATATAACAGATTTCGAGGGTTTTTTTTGCCGGGAAACGTTCTCAAGCTTGAGAAATTTCGAATTTGTCTAGTTTTTGGGGTATGTATGAAATAGGGTTATCGGCCTGGTCGAGCAGTGAAGGCTTCTTCCACATTCCTTGAATTATTTCATATGAAAGGTAATCAGTTTGGCAATGCCCTGCCGCCAGGAGAATGCAAACAACGCGATAGAATGCGTCCCGGGTGGTAGGGATCATTTTTCTAAGTGCAAGAAAATAGCCGACATCGATGCGAAAGTCGGCCTCAAAGTCTACATGGACGTCTTGAACAGGTGAGATCTTTCAATATATCAATGGAGAACACCCTAAAGAATAGATGTATAGTGTTTCTAAGCTTCTAACCCTTGTGTGCTCAAGTGAAAATTGAACATATCTGGACGTGGACGTGAATATATCACGAAACAAAACCTGATACTGTAGTACATTTTATCATTCAATGGGTATACAGTATACAACCACCATACAAACACGAGCAGGAGAATGAATGGACAGGAGAATAGTTGGTTACCCATTGCTGTTCAACAAAGAGAAGCACATACTAAAAGTTGAATTGGATTAAAAGTATTTACAATTCACAATTACATTTTTATTTATTTATTTTTTAACTAGAGCCACGTAAACCCGTCATGTGTGAGCCATGAATAAGGGGAGTGGTGGCGTGGTCTGGGATGCTCTGCCGGCCTTGGGTCTCGGCTTCATCACAACCAGGCGCGCCAATAGCAGAGAGAGAAAGAGAGGAAGAGAGAGAGAGAGAGACATAGACACACACACACACACAGAGAGAGAGAGAGAGAGATAGAGAGAGAGAGAGGAGAGAGAGAGAGAGAGAGAGAGAGAGAGAGAGAGAGAGAGAGAGAGAGGGGAGAGAGAGAGAGAGAGAGAGAGAGAGAGAGAGAGAGAGAGAGAGAGAGAGAGAGAGCGGGGATGGTTGGGGAGCAAGAGAACTAAATAAAGTATAATAAAAAAATGAGAGAGAGAGAGAGAGAGGGAGAGAGAACTAAATAAAGTATAATTATTAGGGGTGAAACGAACGAACGAAAGTTCGAATATTCGTTCGAAAAATTTGAAAACGAACGAACGAACTCGCAAGATTGATAAACGAACACAGCAAGCAAGCATAAAGATTGCTTGTGACTAGATCACGAAGGAGCCGCGGAGGTTGGGAGATCGCGAGCTTGCACGCTGATCGACTGCGTTTGCCTTGATGATCACTTGAAGCAAGTTGAAGGAGTTGAGTGTCGCGTCGGGACAAAGTTTCTTGAAATATTTCTGTGTGTCCGTTTGAGTTAGATTTGTACTCGTAGTGAAAGGATTCGAGTCGCTTGTGACATCTGTTCCCGAAAGCAAACGTGCACTCGTTGCAATCATGTCAAAACATTCGAGCCTTTCATCGCGATCCGGAGTTGGAGCGGAATTTGATAAAGTGGTCGGGAAAGACGAAGTCCTTTTCTCAATTTCACAGCAGAGCGACGACGAGCAATCTTCGTACCCACCTCAAGAAGTACCGTTCTCCTGCTCTGACGACCTGAGCTAGCGATGAGAAGAAAACTCTCGTCCGGACGATGGTGATGGACTTTGCAGCTAGCTGCAAAACCCTGTGATTCAGCTCAGGCGGACGCGATAAAAAATATTTCTGTTCTGGCAGTGTATCGTACACCGTCAATACTGAACTGTGGCCAGCCAAGTACAGAGAACGCCTGTACTGACAGACTGTATCAGTGTATGGTCTTCAAAAAAATTCATCCTTGAAATACATAATGGAGAATGTTCGTTCGAGTTCGTTCGTTAGTGTGAGAGTTCGTTCGTATTCAAAATTCGATGTTCGTTTCACCCCTAATAATTATAATGCGTAAGGGGTGCACATTCAGATCCAGAGAAAAGAGTAAGCAGGGCACGAGGCGTACGGCAATATGCAGCAGTGTGTGGGCAGATGTGCATACATCTTACAAAGTGTCAGTGGCCCAGTGCCATTGCTGGGCACGGAGGTGCCGGAAGACAGACACTTTGAAACTTTGCAGCCGTTTCCGGTCAGGTGGCTGGCTGAGGACGGCGGGTGGCAGGGCATTCCATACAGGGACAGCACAGGCGGGGAAAGCTCCACGGCAACTTCCCCGGCTATTGACAGGTAGCCCTGTCTCCACATGTATCACTTTCTGTGATGTAACACTTGCGGCGAGGAAATGCCTGTCGCGCACTGTCGCAAGCAGTTGTAGGGCCACTGTCCCAGAAGTTGGCAAAAGCATAACTCTTGCCAAGCGCGTTGTACACGAATGGAGTGCAGTTCACTAGGCTGGGTGTCCGTGAGGGTACTACGCACTGCACTTAGATGCCGCAGAAACAAAACAGATTGTGAATCGTCTGTCGCGGTTGCAGCTCATCGCAGGTGTTGCATGTTGCGCATTGTGGAAAGCAGTTCATGTATTGGGAATTGAGCTTCAGTAATAACAGAAAGAGGATCCCAGAGGATGACTGACACCGCTGACAAACACTCTTCTGTGCAAAGTTTTGATGACGATGCTTGATTGAGACGTTACCTGCAATGGAAAATAAACAGCGGATGATACTGATTATATATTAGGTACGGATTATACCATGAGTATGAGGGGTATACAGCGAATATTTTCGAGAGTGCGTTAGGACGAGGGACAATTGGGGGATTCGGTATACACAGAGTACGAATGGTAATATCCATTTGCATGGTACTTTCCTAAATACAGAGCGTGACCAACACGAAAGCTTAGCTCACATTCGACGGGGCGCAGCGGGACGCAACGTAAGGATTGACGGGAACCGACGGAACGGTTACGACGCCGGCAGACAGCGTCCAATGTGAACACCAGGAACGGGAACGCAACCGTTCTACCCTACAAATTGGTAAGCTAGGGGAAGAGTTGGATCAGTTCAACTTTTCAGACCGTAGACGGGGACGCAAGCGTACAAAACAACTGCATTCGAGTGTGAACAGGGGATGTGTCGTGCGCTGAACCCTCCCGATGCGCACAACAGCACACTTAGGTTTTTAAACATTCCGAACACGGTCAACACTACGCTTCCCATGATAACTCGCCAAATGGTTAGCACAACTGATTCAAATTTTAGGAAGACAAGATTTCGTGTCACTTCTTGAAAATCGCAATAGCTGCTACATGTCATGTCTTTCGAATCGTACAAGATTTTACAGCTCACCCCGGCCGTCCCAACAGGCCCTTACGTCCCCTACCGTCAGCGTTACATCGAATGCAAACTAGGCTTAAAGTTTCCTTATTCTCGAAGTGACCCATGTGAACCGAGCGGGATATATCGCTGAATATATCCTGCTGAGAACGGCCGCTGATTGGCAAATGTTGTTATATTTGAGACGAGTTCTATATCACTCAACTTCATATCACAAATGCTGGCGCACTTACATGAGGAAGGGATGGATCCATACACGTGCGCTAGGGGTGAAACGATTAGTTCGAATATTCGAGTATCCGTTCGAAAATCTCAAACGAGCGAGTATTCGAAATTTTGCACTCGATCGTTTTTTTTATTTATTTATTTTTTAGTACTGGCATTCTATTTTTCAAAAACTTCTGTTGTACTGCTCATCGACTGGTGTGCATGCATTATTCGTGCCTTTGAGTCAGTATTTTATGACTTGGACGATGCAATCACCACGGCAAGTAAGGTTATTTTGTTTTGAGATAATGAAAGTACTGGTGAAAATCGTTACTTTACACTCTGTACAAGACGTTGGCGACTTTTGTGCTACGCTCACAGAT